AGGAGGAGGAGGAGGAGTAAGAGGAGGAGAAGGAGGAGGAGGAGGAGGAGGAGGAGAAATACTTTTTTTTTACTATGAAAGAAATTAGAATATTTACAGATTGAAGGGAATTTACATTCTTGAGAGAATTTAAAGATCTACATTAGAAAGGGCTAACTGCTCAGACCCTACTAGAGGCAGTAAAATGTGATCCAGCATCCAGGTGGAAGGAATGGGCTGTTAACACACTGGAGAAAATGTGACTTCATTCATTCAGTTACAGTTGCTTTTCTCTAGGACTTTATTTAGTTTTCAGATTATCTTGGCCTCCTGGGGTCTCTTTTTTACCCTCAACCTGCCTGTGAACAATCCAAAGTGATAAATATGGGAATCTGTATGATTAATAAATAATACAACTTTCTCTTAAGCACTTGTGAGCAGGTTTATGGAAGCAGATTGGAATCTAAGTGCAAAATGAGATTCTCAGGTTACATATTTCTAAAGTAGTTTGTGTGTATACTGGAGACAATGTAAGGTGAACAGACACATACCTATGTGGAATTTTAAATTGGTATGTGGTTATATTACACAATTGCACATATGTGGTGTGTTTAGTGATGAAGAATGCTCATCACCTAGTTGGTTTAGAGGTCAATGCCATAATAATTTTGTCTGGCCAAGAGATTTTAATTATTTATGTTAACCTCAGATACCCAAAGTACCAAAAAACAATGCTACTTTCCTAAGAATCTTAATTTATATCACAAATGACAAAGCTTTATTACAATCATCTCAAATCATGAAAAAGCTTGTTCCTTGAGTATTCAAATAACTGGAGCAGTGGGAGGGAACAAATAAATACACAGAATATTTTAACAGATGTCATTTTAAATCACCTCTGCTTGACTTATTAGCTAACCACAGGTTATAATCTCTGTTCCTGACTCTATGCCTTGCAGCAATACATTCCTCTAAAGTTTTTCACTACTCTTTACAGAACAAGCCTCGACATTTCAAAGATTAGAAAATGATGTTATGTTTCCTTAGCTTCTTTTAATACTGGTAATTGAAGAGAGATGAAAAGCTCTGGTTTATATTTATATTACTGTTCAGAAGGTGTAGTGTTCCAGGGACCAATTTTCAATGTGGAATACAACTTTGTTGGACTAAGTTTCTTCCACCATAAAGTTCATGACTGGCAGAAGGTCAGCATCAAAGGATAGTTAAGGAAATATTTACCTTCTTTGTGAAAACACTTGAAAATCAGAGACCACATTTGTTTGTTTTGTAATTTTCCAAACTATAAGATACAATTATGATTCCTTCTCCCTTCAAGTAAACTAAAGTTCTTACATTTAGGTACATACTAGGCTCTGGAAAAAAGTCAGGACAAATTATCCCCCATGTTCTCACAGAGGCTCAGCATCCCCGCCTTCATTTCCCTACTTAGTGTAAAAGAAGTCAGGGCGATGAGTGGCCCCTATTCCCACCGCACTGAAGTTGGTGCTTCTTCTCCCACGTTTTTCTAGCCTTGCGGGGTCCAAGATAAGAAAGTGGAAAAACCTGGTCTAAGTTTACATTCTTTGCACTGATGATGTTACAACAATGAGAGGAAGGCAGAAGGGAAGGAAGAAATTCCCTCTGCCAAGTATTTAAGAAGCACTTGGTGTTTTTCTGTGTCTCCAATGGAAAGAAACACCAGCACTGCTTTCTGAAGTAAGAAATGGGGGAATTATTCACACTCTTGGGTTGAAAAATAAGCATTTTGGAGTCTTCTGCTGACCTAACTGGCATCGCGCTGGGGGAGCTCCTGGCTGCTGTTCTGTACTGGATTCCTTATTCCCCTGGTCCTGGGCAGGTGTGGTACCTGACTAACAGGGGAAGTTGGGCTGCAGGATGCGCGGTCTTCGGACCACCCACAAAATCCTAATTTGTGTGTGTGTGTGTGTGTGTGTGTGTGTGTGTTCCCCAAACCAAAGTGGTCAGGAAGATGACTTTGGTGCTTCTTCAGAAGGTTCGTGACAGGGTGAAATATGTCTCACGACCCCAATGATGAGGTGGAGTGGGATAAGGGTGTATCTCTCCAAGCAGCTCCTGATGGCTGGGAGCCCAGGTCCACGTGGAATCACAGCCAAGACTCACGCTGCTAACTCCCTGGCCCCACATAACCCCTCACTCACACCGCCAGGCCCCTGTCGGTGTCCTGCAGCCAAACAGCCGCAAACTGCAGACTTACCTTGACTGAGCGCTAACACCAGCCTCAGCGGCAGCGGCAGCGGCGCGCCCCCTGCCTGTCCTGGCCGCATCCTGGGTCTGCTCTGGGGACTGTAGATGCTCTGAGTTTGCAGAGAATACTCTCGATCGAGGGACAGGAGAACCGGGAGACTGCAGAAGCTCTCCGAGGGCTTCTCGACTTGCCTGGGTGAGAGCAGGGGAAAGTTGCCTGGCAGCTCCTGCAGCGAAAGGACCCGCCCCGGCCCGCTCCTCCCGCTTTGGCCAACGCCGGATCTGCCCCTGCCACGCCCCGCCAAGTCCCAGCCCAGTGGCCCCGCAGGCTACACCTCCGCTTCTCCACACCCCCAGCACCACACCTTGATTCCCCTACATCCCCCAGCCTAGCCATCCTGGAAGTGGGAATGGGGACCCAGCGCCTTTTTCTGCCCTGGACAAGACCCGCTTTGCACATCCCACTGAAGAGCGCCAGTCCTCGCGCTGACCCGCCCCCTGACGACTTGTCAGCCCACCAGAGGACCCTCCAGATCCCCAGGACCACCCCACACCCTCTGCAGCCCTCTGTGGCTCTCAGTCTTACCAGGGGGAAACCTCTAACCCTACACCTACAGTTCACCTACAGTTACCGTGGGCTGAGTGGTGCGTGGCTTTCTGTCTTCTCCAAGTGGGTGGAGAACGGGACGAAAATAAGTGCAGAATGACCAGGTTAGAAACTAACTCATCAGGAAAGATCTGCTCTCAAGTTATGATTATCCCAGGTGCTATTTAAGTTAGACCTGCAGCTGGAATACCACAGAGGTGTGTGTGTGTGTGTGTGTGTGTGTGTGTGTGTGTGTGTGTGTGTGTGTG